TACAAGTTCTATAAAAATTTCCAATTTCAGTAATTTCATAATTTCCATAAGTTAAAATTAAACAATGATCAGTAGGTAATTGTTTTGGATTAAAAATTTTAAATAAAGATATAAGTTTACGATCTGAAAAGCGAAGCTTAATATTTTTAACTATATTTATAGTAAATTCTTGTACAAATAAAGGAAGATCATGAGGTAAAATATTTTGCTGATTCATAAACTGTAATAGTATAGTCCCAAAAGTAGATTGTATATTTGCTTCACTAATAAAATCAGCTGTAATAGATTCAATAACTGTATTTACTTGTATTGTAACTTCTGAGACTGAAATATAATCAGCTTGAAAAACTAAAGATAGATGATGAAGTTGTGAAAGAATATCAGCTAAAAAATGTGTTGCAATTAAAAAGTCTTAATCGATATTATTATAAAGTTGTTGTACAGTTTTTTGGTCTTTAGTTGCATTCTCTAATAGAGCACTAATTACTGAATTAATAATTTGATAAAGATTATTAACAACATTGCTTAATGAAAGCCATTGGGTTTTAATAACTTGTAAAATATCTAAATTAGACTCTTTTAAACTTTGTTGAATTATTCATAAAGTTTGTAATTGTAAATATGATCGACTAAAATAGCTATAAAGTTGACGAATAATTTCATCATAAGTTTCAAAGTATGGAGTTTGCTCAGCAGCATCTTTAGAAGCAAGTGCTAAGTGATGACTTATACAATGATGTTCAGTAAGAAATAGAAAATGAGTTTTTAATTGTGTTGCTATTCCATTTACATGTCCTAAATAATTTTATATAATTATAATAAATATAAATAATAAAATAAATAATTAAAATAAATATTAACCTAAATTAACACTAGTACCATCACTTCCAAAATGATAAAGTGTTTCATGAGGTAAATGTTTAGCAAGAATAAACTGCTCTAAATCATTAAGAATTGCATTTGATGATATGCTCTGAAGTTTAATAATACCCAAATAACAAAAAACTGGCAAATTACAAGATATATGTTATGAAACAATAGCAAGATTTTTTCATTAAAAATTGTGATACTTTTATCAATCATAAGACTTTATGTTTTAGAGGTTTGTAATTTATTAAGTGTAGCCTCTTCAATAATACGTGCAATTGCTAAAATAAATTGTCTTGCAGTATAATCATTAATATAAGATCTATATTCACTACATATAGATTGTATTGTAGTTATTGGTTTAGGTGAATTTAGAAAATTTGCACCATCCAGAATAATATTTTTATTAGAATTTTGAATTTGTAACTCAATAAGAAGACATAGATTCTCAAAATTAAGTGTAGCAATATTATGCTTTACAAGAAAGTAAATATTCATCATTTTTCTCATTATTTGTAATTGATTAGATTCAGTATATTGATGTATACTAGATATAATATTAACTTGATTTTTACTATGTGCATATACAACTGTTTTATGATCAGATTGTTCTATATACTGTTGAAGATATTGTTCTCTAAAATACTGAGTACCTATTACGAAAATATTATTATATTTTGCATCAATACACCATATACAAACTATATATTTTTCATCTTGTCATACTATTAAATCAACTCATGGATAAGTTGTTTTCTAATTTGGATTCTATTTTAAATTTTCTTTAGCAAAACGATTATATTTAGATTTTTCTAATTTAGTATTATTAGTCATATCTTGCTCATTATTAGAATCTTTGCTAGTAGCAGTACTATTGTCAAAATTATCAAAGTTAAGATTTTCGCCAAAGTTGTTTTCATTATATAGTAGTATTAATTCATTAAAAGTTCGTGCTATAGTAATAAATGAAGTAATTTTACTTTGTTTTTTAAAATTAGATATTTTAAAATAACTAAAAAATAAGTGAACAATAATATTTGGAATTTGAGATTTTTATTAATTTAATTTATATTCTTTTATAATCTGATTTTAAAATATTAAAAGTTTTTTAATTTTCTTTTTAGTATTACTTTATCAATTTTTGGTATTAGTATTTTCGCTTAATTGTTATTTATAATTTAATACAAATATGAATTCTATTATCTTACTTTATTAGTTAGTAGCTTTAATATAAAATCAACAGCAGATTTATTTACAAATATTCACATGTTATTGCTATTATATAATTATTTATTTATTGTAAGTAAATTCTATTTAGTGAATTATCATTCAAATTAATAGATTGAAAAAGGGCAAAGCAGAGATATACTAGAAGTGACTTTGCTAGATAGCGCAAGCCAAGATTTGAATTCAAACTAGTATTGCTGACCAATTTGTCCAAATTAGTATTCAATTAATATCACATAAGCAAGTATAAGATAAGTACAATTTAACTATTAATTAACTTCTTATTCTAGAACTGATTAGATAATTAAATAATTACTAATAATGTTCTATATATAATAAGTACAAATAATACTTTTCTAGACACAGGAAAGAAAATTCGCAAGCAAACTCTCCTACCTCATACCAAATCCTGCCATTTTGTACTATCTTTACAAAAAATCAAAAATCAAATGCTGGAATTAAACTAGTCAGATCTAGTAATGCAGCCTTGAAACCTAATCAGGTATACAAATAATCTGATACTATATAGATTGTATATGAAGGCAGATAAGTATAATTCATTTAATCAATTGCCTATTTTGAGTTATTTATATAATTGTTAATAGTTATCTTATTGTCAAATTGGCACTAATCATTTACACAAGCCAAGATTTGCACTTGAGACCTCTTTTCTATATAGAATTCTACTATTTTGTACTATATATTAAAGCCACTTGCTTTACATAGTATGAGAGACTACAGCTGATACTAGATATTGTGAATTCGCAATTACAGTTATCAGAATTATTGAAATTAGTTATTATATATTTATTGATTTTTTGATTAATAATATTATATGTATAGCTGCTTATTATTCTTATTATATACTTATGAGAACACTATTATTATTTTACTGTTCTC